GTCTCTGCTCCAAGATGCAGGGATGCAAATACACACCTCCAGACTTCTGTTCCTTCAGCTCCCTTTGCCTGAGATCCCTACCTTCCTGCCACCCTTCTTCCTTCTTTTCTCTGTTTCTGTCACATATGCATATGATTAAAAGAAATCCCAGTCTGGCTTGGTGGTTCTCGCTTTTAATCCCAGCATTGCAGAGGCAGACACAGGGGATCTCTGTGAATTTGATGCCAGCCTGGCCTACATAGTGAGTTCTGGGCCAGGCAGGGTCTACATGGTAAAACTCGGTCTCAAAATAAAACAGACAAATGAAACAACCAACAACAACAACAAAACAGAAGAAAACAAAGCCAAAAGCAAATGGAGTTGTCAAGCATCTCGAAAAGCATTCAGTAAGCTAGAAGGACAGCTCTGTGGCACAGGGCTTGCTTCGCGTGCCTTAGGCCCCAGCACTGCAGAAGAAAAGAAGAGGGACCATGGAGATAATGTGACAGGTAAAGAGCCTGCCTCCAAGCCTGGCAACCTGAGTTTGGTGGAAGAAGAGAATTGTCCCTCTGACCTCCCCCCCATCCCCCCCCACCCCCGTGTGCCATGGCACGTGCATGCCCACACAGACATACCCACGCATACATTCCAATACAAATGTAGCAAAAATCTTAAAGAAAAGAAGGAAGAGTGGGAGGGAGGGAGAGGAGGAAAACAAAAGAAGGAAACCCAAGCACGCAGTAAAAAGTAAGCATCCTCACTGCCTACCTCCTTCCATGCTTCTGGTTCTGGATCTCTCTAGCGGTACTCTACAGCTGGCTAAGCACTGATGCGCATAGATCTTTTTGTGACGTGTGATCATTTGTAAAATGGCCCACTACACTGCGACTGGCCTTTGTAGCTTGCAGACTTCTGCAGACTGATACAGTAGTCTGGAGGGTCTCCCTTGCACTGGATACAGGCTGTCCAGTAAAGCCTCTGATGGCTGGGCCATGATTTATTTAACTAGGCCCCCAGTGATGGACACTTAAACACTTGCTCATCTTGCAACTAAAAACAACACAACAATAAATATCCCTGTCCAAACAAACTGTGCTCTTGCTCATGTAGGAGAGCTAAATTCCCACTAACGCAATTGCAGGGTCAGTGTGCGTGGATTTGAAATGTTAATACATCTCACTGAAGTAGCTTTCAAACAAATACAACCAGTTGACGACAGTTACAGCCTTAGAAAGGAGCCATCCTGCTCTCCCTCTGTCCTTTCCTTACCTGTTCCCTCCTCATGCCTGAAGCGTAAATGGCCTCACATTTGTCATCTGGGAGCACCAGCCCTCTTCCCAGCTTTGCCCACCAGATGGAGTGTGCATCTGCCTCCGCTTTCCCAGGACGTCACTGTTGTCTTGAGCCCATCTCCCAGTCTAGACCATGAGTTGAGAAAAGGATTAAGCTCCATTCATCTTTTGTGGGCCCTAGTTGAATGCACCACAGGCAGAAGCTGAATATCTCTTGAACTAAACAAAGCTGAACACAGTGATGCATGCCTGTAATCCTGGCACTCAGGAGGCTGAGGCAGGAGGACTGCAGTGAGTTTGGTCTTAGCCTGAGCTACAGAGACCCTGTTTCAAAGCTCTGAAGGAAATAAAAAAAAAATCCTAGTCTGTTGGACTCCAGCTTGCTGCTGAACACAAGCATGAACCTGACTGAGCAGACCTTGCTCGGCTCTCCTGCTCCCTGAAGACTGGCTGTGTGTGCCAGTGCCCGTCTCTGCTTCTCATAGCGTTGGTTTCCAGCTGCACGCCCTTATCTGTGAGCAGATGCTGTCCCTTTGTCCCCAGCTCTTCCAAAGGTGCCCTTTAGTTACCGGGGTCTTGTTCCTCTTTTTCCTGTCACCATGCAAGGTGTCCTCTTGTCCCATACTCCCAGGCTGGATCTGCAGTGTGCACCAGGATCTCTAAGAGCCTGGCAGCACATAGCGCCTGTTACCAGAACACCTGAAGCAGATCGACGAGGTCCAGCTGGAGGCAGCTCAGGCTCACCCACAGCCCTTCAGGTGCCTACTGGCTCCTCGCCGCTCTGAGACTAGGGCTGCTGGGGTTAAGACATCCCTTGCTGCCCCTCCTCCAACATCCTTCTGTTGTGGCTGCAGAATGTCACTGGCTTCTGAAGCCAGTTTCCTTGCTACTCTCCTTCTGGGATTAACAGCCGGGGCCAGGGAAATCAATGTATGGAGGGGGCTTGAGGCGGTGGGGTTCAGAGAACCTCTTGGGATAGTGAAGTGTAGAGACAGAAAACTGGAATGGGGGAGTACATGCGAGCTCACAAAGTGCCACCAGTCAGCAGATGCAAATGCCATGGCATTTGGAAAGGTGGCTCAGGGGCTCCACGACCCAGCTTACTCCCTTCCTCTGGGTGAGGACTGTCCGAGGATGGGGCATAGTGGGCAATGTGTTGTCATCTGCACGCAAGTCTGAGGAACAGTACAGACAGACAGATAGACAGACACAGCCTGCCAGTAGAGCTGGTAGCCTGCTGCATCATCACCAAGGATCCCAAACTACTGTGTAGTGACATTTCAATTGTATTTTAATAAAGCCTGCCTGAGGATCTGAGAGTGAAACAGCCCCACCGGTCAGCCTTACAGACCAGGTTATGGTAACACACACTTTTAATCCCAGTAGCCATAAATGTGCACCCTTCATGTCAGTAGCCACACTGGTTGCCATAGAAATCAGGTGGTTCATGCCTTTAATCCCAGCCCTGGAGAGGAATATACGACAGGGGAAGACAGCTCTCAGGGACAGTCTCCTTCTGAGATTCCTGGAGGCAGAATCACCATTTCAGACTGAGGTCGAGTTAAGAGCCAGTGGCTGGCTGTTTTGCTTTTCACACCTTTAGGTTGAACCCCAGTTTCTGACCCTGAGTTTTTATTAATCGTGCATCACTACTGTGGCCCCAAACTGTCATTTTTGCTTCTGACATCACCACCACAGCAAACACTTCTGGGCTCCTGGTCCTCACATCCCACTCCGGACTTCAAGGCCTCCGAACAGCACCCTTGGCTGGTGCTCTCCACTTGAGTCTGAAGCTGCTCAGGGCCCTAGAGGCACAGGTCTGGAGTCTCTACCCAGACTGCAGTGGTGTATTTCTCCAGCCAGTAGGGGCCCTCTGGCACCGGCCAGCATCCCCTCTCTTGAACTGACTCATTCTGCCTAAATTGGAAATGTGGGTCACTGTTATACCATGGGAAGGATACCAAGGGTGCTCCTAAAATACTTTCATGTGGTACCACTCAGGGCATAGAAAAGGTTCGTGGCAAACCACCAGAACCCACCAAAAGAGCCCTATATTGGGCTAAGGCCGAGAAAGACCAATGAAGAAGGAAGCTGTAGGTCTCAGCCTGAGCAGCTGCAGCAAAAAAAAAAAAAAAAAAAAAAAAAAAAGGCTTCTCTTAAGTGGGAGAAGACATTTCTGTAAGCGTATGGCTATTTTTTTCTTTATGATGACTACCAGCTAGTACCTATGTGTGATTTGTCTGAATGTATGAGTGTGTACCACATGCGTGCTTGGTGTACAGTCGGCATCGGATCCCTTGGAACTGGAGTTAGAGATGATTTTGAACCACCATGTAGGTGTTATAAATCAAACCTGGGTCCTCAGCAAGAGCAGTAATTGCTCTAAGCCCGAGTCATCCCACTGGTCCTCTCTTTTGGCATGGTGAGGCTTTCCATTAAGCCTCTAAAGCCTCTACATACTGTTCTTTGTCATGCTTTCCTTTCTTCCTTAATAACATTATGTCATGGACATCTTTGTCAGTACCTGATAAAACCTGCAACCATTGCATAGCTTTAATTCCAGACCTACCCAACCATCAAGAGACTGGGTACAGCTGACCGCCTGCTGCTAGCACACTGCTCAAGCTGCAGGTGCAAATGCGGATCAACTGCTTGTGTCCTCTTCTGAGCTGAAACTAGATGTGATCAGGAAGACAAACTATTGTTTTCTAAAGAACAGAGCATGTTTCTCTGGTGTATTCATTGACCCGTCACGGAATCCCAGTGAGGCTGAAGGGCTGAAGACTAACACCACCCAGGCTTTTGGAGTTACGACGAGTATCCTCCCAAAACTGTTGGTAGAAATAGCAGTACAGTCACTCAAGACAGCAATTTGACACTATCTACTTGGTAAAGATGCTCAAACTATGGCACGCTGATCTTTCATTCCCTTGTACTTACTGCTAGACAAACACACACATGCACAAAGGGGTATTTCTATTATATTCAGTGCTGGTGAGAATCTAAACATCTACCAAAAGGGTTAATGTATCAAATGCAAAAAAAAAAAAAAGAACATGGGAGTGAAAAAGTCAAGCTGCAAAACGAGAGCATACATTCCACCAACTACGTCCAGTTTAGAAACAAACCCAGCTGTTTATGGGGACACACACACACACACACACACACACACACACACAGAGTATATACGTCTAGAGATAGAGAGAAGGAGTTCACACCATTTTCTCGGTAGTGCTTACCTCTGTGGCTGAATGAAGGGAAATAGGGTGTGAGGAATTCACTTGTGTCTGAGTTCTATCCTAGAGATGGATGTGAAGAACCATGGCCAGCTGTTAAATGAATTTGCCGTGGCTGTCCTGCAGCACTCTGTTGGGGTGTCCCTATTTGTGTCACTATGTTAAGATGTGTAACTGGCATTCAGATCTTTTTTTTTTTTTACCCATTCTGCGAGTTTCCATCTTCTCAAAGGTGATTCGAACTTGTTCACCCCCACAGTTTGGATTTATTTTTACCCGTTTCTTTGTGGGTATTTTCTCTCTCCTTTTTCTCTCTCTAGTCAATCTTTTCCACACAGAACATAATCACATACCTTATTCCTGTATCTTAAAGGTCTTTGGTGTTCTGATGAGAATTTCTAGTGAAAACGACAGTTTTTCTAGAGCTGAGAAGAATTTATAGTTACCTGGTAACACCGTTTCAGACAAAGCCCAAACGATGCCAGTGTACTGTGCCAAACCAAAAGGAGAACTTTAATAAGCTTTTACACCACTGCAAATACAGGAACATTAACCCATAACATGCAACAAAAGTGATCTTTTTCTTTCCAACGTATTTAACAGATAAACTTGACATCAACAAGTAAGAGTAACAGAGTCTACAGAACAAATATGATTTGTTTCAACTTTCAGGTTAGAAAATTTATGTTCTTGCTGCAATCTCAAGTAGCATTTAGAAAGTTTAGTTTCCCTTTTCTACCTTCTAAATGAAAGAATGATTTTTAAATGTAATTGCACGCAACCATTTTCACATTGGAAATAATCACAAGGAATCAACAAGTTTAGTGTAACTGACCGACAGATTTCATTGCCAGTGTTAATTTTGAAAGCGGGCTCCTGTAGTATTGTGGGTGTTAGATAGGGAATTAGCCAGGCTAAGAGTGGCGGGCCATGGCCTTTACAGTGGGGGAGGGAACATGCAGCGGCACACGGGGCAGGTGCCGGACTTCTGAAGCCAGATGGACACGCACGGCTTGTGGAAATAGTGGTGGCACGGCAGCTCGGTTGCCACCTCCCCCTTCACATATTCACTGCAGCAGATAGGACAGCACATTTCCTGGCCCACGGCACCATGATCTTCGGTGACCAGGATCTCAGGAAGTGCATCAATGCTCTCCTTGCTTGCGGGTGGGTTAGCCACTTCGACATCAACGGCGAGAGACTCCAGGTGAGCAAGGGCAGTCTCCATCGCCTGGGCCAGGCGCTCTTCAAGGGCCATGTAGGTGAGGAACTGCGGATCCACGTAGGAGATGGCCTCCGCCACCCCCATCCCATCCGCAAAGCCATCAAACAGGCTCCAGTCCACTTCTAGGTCTTCGCTCACACTGGAATCATCTTCCAGGTTGTTGTTGCCATCCAGCATGAACATCGCAGGCTGTATCAGCTCGTGGCTGGATTCGTTCTCCCCCTCACTGCTGCTTTCATTCTCATTGTACCGGAGCCAAGGAATTTCTCCTTCTTCCAGAGAGGCCTGCTCTTCTTCCTGAAGAGACGGTTCTTGTACTTCTTCGGGATAGCCACTGCCATTGCTGCCAACACTGGTACTGGCAAGGCTCCCAGCTCCGCTGGTGTTCACACTCCCTTGAGCTTGCTGAGGGAGTTCTTCCCTTCCTGGCAGAGGCTCCCAGCTTTCCCCACTGGAAGACTGGGGTTGTTCCTGGCTTCGATACTTCCAGTGCAGAGCAGACATCCATTCTTTCTCACTGTCAGAGTCGTCTTCATAGTACCTGTAGTAATCATCAGAGTATGCCCAGAAGTCACGGTCAGCCATGGTTCGCCGCCGTCTGGACACTTTCTCTGCTTTCGCCTGCCCACTCCTGTTATCCTTCTTGTCTTCAGGATACTTCAGCTCAGAGGAGCTGCCTGCCCCCTCACTTCGGCCTCTTCTTGGGAGGGCCTCTGCACGGGCTCCCTCAGCATCAGCATTGGCAGCATCTCTCCACCTGGGAGTACTGTGTGGTACATCGTCATCATCATCAGTATCAAAAAATACTTTTGGTTTCATGCAGCTGGGAGTCGCCACATTCCGGATTTTTGGTCTCACCACTGGTTCCTCTGCGCTCTTTGCGGTGGCTCCCCCCCCACCACAAATACTCACAGGAGCCCTGCTAGGACGTGCAGGTACATTCTGCCTCCCTCTCTCCACATTGTTGCTACCCTTTGCAGCTGCCCTGCCTTCAGCAGAGGCCATCTGAGAGGCCATGCCATTCTGCTTCAAGAACTCAGCTCTGGTACCAGAGCACCGTGTAGCAGGGGGTGGGTCTACCTTGCCACGCTCCTCTTTCGCATTACGGCGGCGGCGGCGAGGACCAGAGAAGCGAGGAGACCTTGCCCCCTTCTCTGGATCAGCCTTAAACTTGCCAGTTTTCCCTCGTACTGGCAGTCGGTTAACAGGCCCAGCCCCCTCCTCCTCACTATCACGCGCCCCCAAAGTGTCAATGTGTCCATAAGCCAATCCTCTTCGGCTCCCTGAGGCCCTGTACTCTCTTGGAGGATACCTGGAATAATTCTCATTCCCAACATTCATGTTGGCTCCTGAGCTCTCGGTGTCATCCCAACGACGGCGTGTGCTGGCAAATGGTGAGCGGCTCCTCTTGGTTTGATTGGGGGCTGATCTGTGCATTGGGACTTCGGATGTTGTCCTTCTCGGGCTGGCAATCCGGTCCTGCTGGCTTGTGGGTTGCCTGAAACTGACATAAGCATGCCTCCTTCCATAACCCCTGTCTGCACCAGATTGATACCCTCCTGCTGATTTGGGCCGAACAGGCTTGCTAGATTCCTGACCCATGGCTGACTCAAGAGTTTCCAACAGAGCTGGGCCGCAGGTGCAAAGGCTCTCGCTCCCAGTTCAGAACTAAAAGAGATCTAATTTTCCTTCAGTAGGCAGGTACAGGGATAAGGGCCCTTTAACATTAGTTTCACTGTCTTCTAAGGCCTGAGGTAGCATTCCAGTGACTGTCTGATGTAGACCTGGAACACATGTGTAATGTTTGTAAAATGATTATAAGGCTGGGTCCACAAGAAAGCCAGACTTTAGTGGAGAATAGGACAGAATATGTGTAAGTGTGTGAGTCGGGGTGGGGGGAGGGGAGTGACTGAGTGCTCAGAATGTAGATGTGCTGTGGAAATATGGGAAGACTAGAGCCTGCTTCGAGGTTGGTTTTTTTTTGGGGGGGGGGGTGTTCTGAGAACTGCAGATATTGAGAAGGAATACGATTTAGAACAGAACTGAAAATATAGTTCACTGTGTATGCACAAGTGCCAGCGTCTGTCAGGAGAGAGACAGGTGGATAGGGAGCCAGCAATCGTACAATGCAGGGATTTCTGGAGTGGGTGGGTGCTTGTGGGTAGGAAAGTGACAGGAATGGGTGGGGCATCTTCAGAGGGGAAGGCTGTCAGCCTGACAGAAAGGGGAGGGTCAGTGCTCCTGTTCCGCTCCTGTTCCGTCTGGCAGCTGGAACTATAGAGGGAAGCCTGCATGTCACAGGCAAGGAAGTGAAAGGGCATTTATAGCAATGAGGAAAGTGTCTAAGAGTCAACGTGGGAGGAAACAGCAGGCAGGAAAAAAGCCCAGAAGATGTATGCGACGGATGGACTAGCAAGGCCAGCGACCAAAGAATGCTGGCCTATGTTAATATGGCAAACAGGAAGGTGCAGTATAGAGCAGACAGAGAATAGGAGAAAAGAACATTTGAGAAGAGTGTGTGAGCCAGCTTCCTGCGTGGACATGTGTGTAAGGCAAGCAGTAGAAGGATGAAGACTTCTTTACATGTGTGTATATAGCAGACAGGGAAGATGGAGGCCATTTCTGGGGGGGGGGGGGTAGAAGGGGAGGGAGGGGGAGAGGAGAGAGAGGGACAGGAAGGGAGGGGAGAGAGAGAGAAAGAGAGAAAGAGAGAGAGAGAGAGAGAGAGAGAGAGAGAGAGAGAGAATATGTACTCAAACATGGGTCAGAGGAGGAGGAGAGGGAAGATTCTAGAGGTAGGAGGTAGGTGAGGGGAGAGGAAGGAACCAGAGGGTGTGCGAGAGGGTGTGCGTTAGCCTGTTTGCGCATGCGCAGAGGAGCTCGCTGGAACCTTGAGGATGCAGGGACAGGGACTAGACTGCATAGGTTTGTGTGTGCGTGCTTGCGTTCGTGTGTTGTGTGTGTGTGTGTGTGTATGTGCGGGTGCGCGCGTGTGTGCCTGCGTCTGTGTACGCGCACGCGCGTGTGTGCGACACAGAAGAGGGGGTGCAATGTCATAATAAGAGACAGAAATACGTTATCAGCTCAAAGGGCAGACCCAAATCAATGTGGCAGGTCAAAAGAAAGAAAAGCGTTTCGTGTAGGAACCCTGATTTTCCCTGAGAATATTGTTTATCTTGTAATAATTCTTTTCGTGGGCACATTTTGTACCTAAAATTTTTAGCCATGTGCCATTAGACAAAACAGCAGCAAAATGGGGGAAGAAAGGCCAGAGAGTGCTCTGCAAAGAGGCCAAGAGCATTGCAAGGAGAGACAGGTAGGAGTGGCAGAGGGCCGCGACCACCAGCCCTCTCTCAAACAGCCATAAAGGCCATTCGGGCTGAGGCCATAACGGAAGGCAGGAGCTGGACAGAAAGGGATGCGGTCCCCAAAGAGGCCATGGGCCTCGGCATGTGGTTAAGTCCCCTCCGCCCCACCCCGCGCCCAAGACGAACCCGCAAAGGGGTCATTGGGATTCTGCCCGTGCCCACTCGGAAACCCTTGCCCACCCGTCCGGGCTACTGCAGCAGGCTGCCTGGCACTCACCTTCCCCGACAGTCGCGCGATCAGAGCAGCAGAGCTGTGGGACCTCCGGACGCCACCACCGCCGCTGCAGCTCAGGGTCTCGGCTCCTCCTCCGCTAAAGAGCACTAGGGCAGGCGGGGACTGCGGCGGCGGAAGTGATTGTGACGTCAGCGTAAGTCCGCCCCCTTGATGTGGCGGGGCCGGCTGCTGCCCTCTGCACATCCCCGTGGGCTACAAAACGTTATTTCCTTTGAAACGCTCAGATTTTTCAAAGACCCCCACACGCAGCGAGAATTGTAACAGCATTAACAAATGCCAAACATTTGCCACCTTCCCTTCAGTTTTCTTTAATAAACTGAAACCTGAAGATTCTGATGAATTCTAAGACGCTAGTTAATTATATTACTATATCACATCCTATGTTACATGTTATGGTTTGTCTGGGGATATTAAAATCTAAAGCAGTATTCAGGGTTGCAGTAGAAACGTCAATTTTTTAAAAGCCTGGTGTTTGAGGCAAATTGAAGGTGTTTGCAGTGAAATCTGGTACTATCCAGGAGATAATTCATTACACACAACACGGCTTCACGTTTTTGTCAACTGCGTCACATTTTAAAGTGTCGCAGCTAGCCAAGTGTGGTGGCGCACACCTTTAATCCTAGCACTTGGGAGGCAGAGGCGGGTGGTTTTCTAAGTCTGAGGCCAGGCTGGGCTACAGAATGAGTTACAAACAAAGCCAGGACTATTCAGATGAAACCCTGTCTCCGAAAAATCAAAACAAAACAAGGCCCAGAGAAGCCTTTCTTGAACTCTTTAAATTGAATGGATGTTGAGAACAATCGATGTGGAGTTCCTGAGTTCGCAGCAGTAGCGAAGCTTTGCTCTTACAGGAAACACATGTGGTAGAAGAGCCACAAAAGACCTCCAGGGGGACAATACAAACAGGTGATTCCTGTTAACCGAATACTGTGTCCAGCTAAGGGGGCAAAATCCAACAAGGGGCAAAACGCAAGGAGAGGGTGAGCAAGAGCAAAGGATGTAGAAAGAGAAAACAGCAACAACAAACGGGAGTGAATTCACACATAACAGCGTGTAGTGCGGACTAGTAACTACGTAAAATCAAATTCAGACTACATGGTGTTTCATGCTTTTGATGCCAGCACTCCAGAGGCACAGGCAGGAGGATTTCTATTTTTTCCAGGTCAGCCTGGTCTATACAGAGACTTCCAGGACAGCCAGCGTTACAAAGAGGGAGACTGTCTCAAACAAAACAAAATTTGGAGCATTTATTTTTTTCCCTTCTTTTTCTTCTTTTTTTTTTGTGGGGGGACAGTGGGGTGTGGGAAAGGTTAGTTGTAGTTATTGTCAGACAAGGTCTCGTTATGTATGTAGCTCAGGCTCACCTTGAACTTTCTAGGTTGCTCAAGCTTGCTCCATTAAAAGTAGCAACACTAATCTACAAATAGAGAAGTCAAAGTAAAAAGTGCCTAAGAGAACACAATAGCTGTTTCAGAAAGGACAAGAGAGAATGATCACAAAATGTAAGCACCAAGTAATGCAGTTTCAAAATATGTGGAGCCGTTGCTGTTAGGAATACAAAGACCCCAGGAAGTGGATGGCTGTAGCGGTAGTCTTAACCCACACTGCTTGTGCTGCAGACAGATCAAACGGACTTCCAAATAATTAAGGACATAGGGGGACTCACCAGTGCAATTAATAAGCCAGGGCTAATGTATATGCATTTTGGACTCAAGAGGATTCATTTTTTAATAGAAACACTCTATTTTGAACAGGAAAACAGTATAAAATACATATTTGAATTTATCTGTCTCACAGACTGAGCAACTTTTGGTTTCTTTCAAGTTTCAGACCCTCTACTTTTGAAACAAGGAAATTACAGCTGAAGCTTTGACATTATCCGATTCCCCTTAACTTCTTTCCTTAAAGGAGAACCATTTGAGAGCTTGTATTTTTCTACTTCTTTTCCAGGTCCTACATATGTATATTTCTGGACACACTATGCATTATTATTTCTTTATTTTAAATTAGGTAAGTCATCTTCAAATTTCATGAAATAGTTGGAAATTCGACAATATTGAAACACATAGCTCTGAGTCATGCATTTGAACTACTGAGTGCTATTTTATCAATTACTTAACATGGTATAACTAGAATACTCTATGGTAAGGAATTCCATTGCACGAATTATGAAATTTATGTATCTCTTTCCCTACTGTTGGAGTCGGATCATGTCCGTCTAGTGAGATTATGAGAATTCAATGACCATCTTAGTATATGGTTTCTTGTGTCCTTCTCCAGGGCAGTTTTCTGCTCAACCTATGGTTGTTTTGCAAGTTTAATCTTCTTGACCCTCCAAGAAGTCTGACTTCCCCAACAGGCTACCCCTGGGGAATATTGCTTCTAGCCTCTCATAGACGCCTGCTCAACATTTTTAACCTGTGCTCTCATGGGGAAAGGGATTTGAAAAATTGCTCCGCTCTGTGCACACACATTTAAGTGGGATTTCTTGGTGAAAAGACATGCAGTAGTCATCTGGGTGTGGAGTGAAGGCCTTTAATTCCAGCGCTCTTGAGACAGAGTCAGGTGGGCCCTCATGAGCTCCCAGCTAGCCAGGGCTACTTAGAGACACCCTGTCTCAAAACAAACGAGAAACCAAAACCAAATTTAAAAAACGTAGCAGTTATTTACTGATGAATAACAAATTGTCTCAAACACATAACACAACACGGCAAACATTAATTAATGGCACAGTTTCTGTGACTAGAGAATCCAGACATGGTTTAGTCACAGTGCATCGGGCTTGAGTGTGTGAGGATGAACTCAAGCGCACTCTCATCTGTGGTTAGCGTTTCCTTGAAGGTTCAGTTGGGTGGGGGGTTCACATGACAACACAGATGTTGTCAGGCCTCAGAAAGCCTATGTCAACCTCTGTGTTGACTGGCAGGTTGTTATTCTTGTGATGTGGATCTGTTCACGGGCTTCTTGGTCTCTTCACAGCATGGCAGCTGGTGTGGTGGGTGGTGGTAGTGGTGGTGGTGGTCGTGTGTGTGTGTTTGTGTGCGAGAGAGAGAGAGAGAGAGAGAGAGAGAGAGAGAGAGAGAGAGAGAGAGAGAGAGAGAGAAGATAGTAGATACAGTCTCTTTTTATAACTTACTCTCGGGAGTGACATCTCATCATTTTTTTTCTATGTCCCGTTTAATAAAAAGCAAGCCACAGAATCTGCCCCTTTCCTGTATCAAACTGTAGCCACAGCTGTTCACAGTTTTCCATCATTATCCTCTACTGTCCATGAGATCAATAATGATACCTCTCCTTTCATTCCTGATACATGTGATTCTGTTTATTCTCTTATTGAGAGGCTTAGTAGTCTTGAGGATATTTCCGAAGACTCGGATTTGGACTTGTTTTCTTTGCTGTTTATTTACATTCAATTCCATTGCTTTATGTTCTACTTTTTATTATATATTTTCTTCTGTTTACCTTGGATTTAATTTGTTTTTTTCCAACAGTACAGACCTAGGTTTTAGATGTTTCTTACTTTCTAATATGTATATTCAATGCTACAAATTTCCCTCGAAGCTCTGTTTTTGCTGCAACCTATGTATTTTGGTAAATTGTTCTCTTTCATTTTCACTTTTCTTAAAATATCTCTTGCAGTGCCGAGGACTGAACCCATGCCTGCTGGGAAAATGCTCTGCCATTGAGCGACCCCCCCCCCCATCCTAGTCTTTTTATGTTGAGACTTCTTCTTTGACCCCTATGTTATTTAGAAGTTTATTGTTTAATCTCCAAATATTTGGGGATTTTCCAGCTATCGTTCTGTTATTGATTGCTAATTTAATTTCACTGTGGTCTGAGAGCATACTTTGTATGATGTCTATTCTTTTAAATTTGTTACGGCATGTTTTATGGCCCAAGATGTGGTCTATCTTGGTGAATGTTCCACATGAGCTTGGAAAGAATGTGTATTCTGTTTTGTTGGATGGAGTAGTCTATAAATGTCAATTAGATACAGTTGATTGATGGTGCTATTCAGTTCAACTATATTCTTACTGATTTTCTGGCTGGATCTGTCAATTGTTGATAGAAAGGCATAAACTATAATAGTGGCTTCATCTATTTCTCCTCTTTGTCCTATAATTTTTTGCCTCATGTACTTTGATACTGTGTTGTTAGGCAAATATATATGAAGGAGTTTTTTTTTTTATCTTCCAGAAGACTGGATCTTTTTATCATTAATTCTCAATTTATCCCCAATAATTTTATTTGTTCTGAAATTTGCTATGCCTTAAATTAACAAAGCTATTCTGGCTGCCTTTTGATGGGGATTAGCATGGTTCTCTCTTTCTCCATCTATTTACTTTTTAAAATATTTATTTTTATTATTTTTAATTATATATATGTGTGTGTGTGTGTGTAGGTATGTTCACAGGAGTGTAGGTGCCCATGGAGGCCAGAGCAGTTAGGTTTCCTGGAGCTAGAGTAACAGGCAGTTGTGAGCCCTCTGACACTGGTGCTGGGCATTGAATTCCAGTCCTCTGGTGAGCAGCGCATGCGCTTGACCACTGCTGAGTCATCTCGCCAACTCCTTCCATCTATCTACTTTTAATCTGTTTGTTTATCTTTATAATAGAAATCATTATGGCAATGTATTGTTGGGTCATGTTATTGTTTTTCCGTAGTTGGTTGGTTGGTTTGTTTTGCAAGACTGAAGATCAAATTAGGGCTTTGCATATGCTAGGCGGGTATTCTATCTATCACAGGGCTACATCCTCAGCCATGCGTGGGTCTTGTGATTCAGTCCATTCTAATAGTCTCTATTAATCTATTAATTGGTGCAATCAGACTCTATTCAAATGATTATCGATGTATTATAGTTACATTAATATCACCATATTTGTGACTATTTATTAATTGCTATTGGTACTTGCTTTCTTTGAGGGGAAAGTGTTTTGTTTTCATAAAGCCCAGTCTGGCTTTGAACTTGTCATCCTCCTGCCTCATTAGCTCCCTGAGTGCTAGAATTACAAGTGAGTTCCGTGCCACTAGATTTTTGTCCTTTGTTCCATCGGGACAGTTTGCTTTTGCTTTGGAGTCCCACTCTT